ATTCTTCCTTCGTTCCCACAGACGGCGCCAAATTGTGTGGTGAAATCTGACCACACTGCCCGTTTAGTGATCAGCTGGAGAGCACAGGCAGAATAGATGGCTTTAGCAACTTGTAAACAGAAAGAAAAAGCTCCGGCGGTGGTCTTCCACCCGGGGGCATCCGACGATCAAGTCAGTATATCTCTCAAAGATAATCAAGTGCTAAACTGAATATCCAAACATAAATTGCATACCTTAGACCCATGGGGGTGCCTCTCTTTTATAATATACTCAATCCAAGTCCAATAGAAGTATGACTTCTATGAACTTCATATCAATGTTTACTTTGGATTCTTTAGAGATAAAGATAAACTCCCTAAGAGCTTTATCCTTATCTTGGTTAAGTCCTCTCTCCGTCTTAAGACTCTTGTCCTTTATCTTGGATTCCGATATCTTCGGAGATAACCTCGGCTTCTACGAAATTATCTGGGCTCAACTACCAGGACATGTGGCACCTCGGCTTATACGTCGGCGCCACCATGCCACGTGTTGGTATTCAGAAAATACATCCCCACAGTAGCTTTTAGTAATTCACTCTTCGTAACAGAGACTAGCTTCGGTTGAAGAACGCCTCGGTAAATTGATCAAAGATGATCCTTCTGTCATTGAGGATTCTCTTGCACAATATGGTGACCACTACCCCGACAAGAGGAGTATTCTCCATAAGTAATGTTCGATCTTATATTTTCTTGGTTCTTCCATCTTTTGTTTCTATTTTTATATCTCCATATTGCTTTTGAATTTGTCTCTTAAAATTCACATATATTGGGGAAACCCAAATTTTCAACCAAAAAAAAAAATTATGTTTGTTATTATGTTCTTCTTTTATCTTGGTCCATACTGCTAGCTTAGTTTGTTTCTATCCTTTTCCCCTCCCCTTTTTTGGCTCAGGATTGAAGCAGTTGATAAATGTTTCAACCAAGATACTGTTGAAGAAATTATTGATGCTCTGGTAAGCTTGATATTATATTACTTTCTTTTTTCCTTTTAGTTTGATTGAAAATATAAGACTTGGAATCCATACCTATGTTACATGGACTTGGATACAAGTGCTAGGTGCAAATATGTATCCAAGTGTCAGATTCATCTAATTCCTATGTTCATGGACACGAGATATGACCAATATTCATATTTTATTTTATAGGATAAAATAGTATTTACAAGGTGACAAAGCATTTCATGCTGCATAATGCGAGAGTTATATGCATGGTTATATGGAATACTTGAATTGTTAGATATGTTTGTCAGACACATCTCATACTCCATGCGTCAACTGTCTAATATGGGTATTGTTTTTACACATTTAGAAAAGTCTATGTAAAATAGGATTAGATATATTCCAACAAGAGATAGTCTCTTTTTCAGACATACAGACATCCACATCTGCACACACGCAAAGGGCTACGTAATGGATTTTATTTTTCAGAGTAATTTAATTTTTTTGTTGGTAGAATTATTTTTGGGAAGATGACAGTAATTTGTGTAGCTAAATGACGCGGTAGAGTCTCATGATGAATGGAGTACAAAGCCCTCAAGAAACTGAAAGAGGCATCCCAGTTGAGTTTAAAAGTAACTCTACAATCTTTGAGTTCCTAATCCTTGCATTCCAACGGATTCTGCTTGGATTGCTTCTTTTTACCTATTATTTGACTTACAGTTTCTCTTCTGCAATTAGATATGAGAAGGTAGGTTTCAATCTCTGGACCGTTGTCTTGTTCGTGAGTATCGTTTGTCCTTGAATTGGATCACCAAACAGGTCTCTAATGATTTCTGTAAGGTATGGGTTTTTGTGATGTCTTATGTAGATTACATTTTGGACACTTCCTTCTCAGGTGTTGTTTTCTAATTACTTTTTTTAGTAGTTATTTTGGTTTTCTAGAATTTTAAAAAAATATATAAAAAAAAGAAAATAAAAGTAAGGGATTGTGTTTGATAATTGTTAAAAATAACTTTTTTTTCCCTGTTTTTCTTTTTATATGGAGAAGGCATCACAAACAAACAAAACAAACTCGTTTTTACTTTTTTCACCAAAAAATTGCTTATTTAGTTCTCCCCGAACAAGGCAGTAGATTCATGTGTGTTTCCATCAACTTGTATAGGGTGTTCGTGCACGACTGGTTGATAAGGATTTTGCTCCAAAGGTACCCTCATAATCTTTATCTTCATTGCACCATCTACTTGGAATTTAATCTTCATTTTGTTTTCAAAATAAGTCGCTGATCGGTTTATAATTATAAATTTGCAGTGGGAGCCTTCAAGTTTAGGAGAAGTGACCAAGGGCATGGTTGACTACTATTTCGCTCCCCTGGATGAATCTGAGCCTGAATTGGACTTGCCCACAACATTGAGAGAACCGTCCGTTTCATAGAGTTCCCACCATATTTTCGACAAGGGGAACTTTCAAATTTTGGAATTGTCATAGGCATAAGTAGTCGGTTCAATTGAAACCACTCAACTTTGATTTTTTTTTAGAATTATGTAGTATTATATAAAATTTTTGAGAGGTTGTCATAAATTGACACTATTAAAATTGTTCAAAAAAATATATTTATCAACAAAAAAATTGTTTAAAAAATAATTAATTTTATGTTTTATCATAATTTTATACTATTTTTTTGTTTAGCACGCATAACTATTAATAATTCAATATGAATATGAATCCAAATATGAATGAGATTTATGGATATCATTACAATAATCATTGTGTATATCACATATTAGATATTATGTAAAAATATGACGAGTGTAACCTTATTAGCATAACAGAAATGCGTCGTAGCTCGAATTCTTGAGGCTCGAGTGGCCTGAAAAGTGAAATTTTCTCTCATTTCTATTTGTTTCCTCTCCTCTCCTCTCTATCTCTATTCTTCGGAACAAAAAAAAAAACATTCAAAACACTCTCATTCAACAGATTTAGGTTTGATTTTGAACTGGTTTGGGTTTAATTTTGTCTGATTTGGGTTTAATCATGCCTATGAACTATGCATATATCACTACAAGAAAAAGCGTTTTTGGCGACTAAAAATTCATTTTTCGTCGCTGAAAGTTGTATAATTGGCGACTAAAATGGATTTAGTCGCCAAAATTGAACCCTTTTGCCGACTAAAATAGTTTAGTCGCCGAATACCAGGCTTTTAGCGACTAAAAGGCAGTTTAGTCGCAGAATGTAAGGGTTTTAGCGACTAAAGGTTTTTTGGTAGTCAAAAGTGACGGTTTTTGGCGACTAAAATAATTTAGTAGCCAAAAGTGATGGTTTTGGCGACTAAAGTTGCCGATTATAGGTGTTTTCCCGACTAAAAAAAGCTTAGTCGCTGAAAATGAAGGTTTTTGGCTACAAAAAAAAAAAATTAGTAGCTAAAAACAGTGAATTGGCGACTAAAATTCAGTTTAGTAGCCAAAAGGACACGTTTTTGGCGACTAAAAACAGATTTAGTCGCCAAAACTACTATTTTTAATTTCAACTTGTTTTTTTATCGACAAAAAAATAATTAGTAGCCCCAAAATCATAGAATTGGCGACTAAATAATGGATTTAGTCGCCAAAAGTGGCCTAAAATTTTTTTTAATAAATAATTTATTTTTTACATAAATTATATTGAATTAAAATAATTATATTTATATATATTGTTTTGTATTAATACTGTCAATATATTATATAAATAATATATATTGCAAATATATTCATGTGATGTTGTAGTGGCATAGTGGAGGGAGTGTGTTGCAAAAAAGGTTGCAATGTGGGATGGTTGGGCACGGTTCGAAACTCAGAAAAACCAAAAAAAAGTGGTTTTTTTTTTTCGACGGAACACCTTTGGCGACTAAAATTAGTCGCCAAAAGTCTTGATTTTGGCGACTAAGCCGTTTAGTCGGCGATTGATTGAGTATTGGTGACTAAATTATTAGTCGGTAAATGTATGATTTTCAAAAGGCTAAAACACTATTGGCGACTAGCATTTTAGTCGCGAAAGACCTGTCTTTTGGCGACTAAAAAAATATTAGTCGCCAATGCCTACACCGACAACGTATACGCGACAAATGTGGCGACTAAAGAATTTTGTCGGGGAAAGTCAAATTTCGACTTTCGGCGACTAAAAACAGACTTTTGGCGACTAAAAATTTAGTCGCCAAAAGTGACTTTTCTTGTAGTGTGTATATATATATATATATCAATGAATCTCATTTTCTTAAAAAGCTCAAGTGTTTTTTGTCTATAACCATGAATTGCCAATCCTTCAATCAAATAAATATTAAAAGACTTGGCTAGCCGACTGGTTTTTTGGTCGGCCGATTGGCTATGTTATCACTATTCAAGCATCTTTTTTAACTATCTCTGCAATTGTTAATGGGTTTTGAATAGAGGAGAGAGAGAGAGAGAGAAAAGGAGAGAGAGAGAATCAAACCATCACAACTGCACACAACATCTCTTTCTAAATTGTGATCCCACCTTTCCTCTTCAATCACACCATTTTATCATTAAACAAACAAATCAAACTATCAAACTAGCCCAACTGTTTCTTTGTTCTGCAAAATAGTTTTGCTATTTTGCTTTTATTCTTCTTCTTTTCCTAGTGGATCTGAGGTCTCTCTCTCTCTATCTGTGCAACTATTAATGGGATGAGAGGGAGCGAGAGGATGTGAGGGATGAGTGATTTCATGAGCCTGAGTTGCTTTGAGAGAAATGAGAGGAGCTGTTTTGGTTTTGGGTTTGAATAGATGAGAGATAGAGAGAGAGAGAGAGAGAGAGAGAAAAGAAGAATATGAAGAAAAAAGAGAAAAGGAGGCACTACAGAAAAATTCACTTTTAGCAGCGGCCCAAAATGCCGCTAAAAGCAGGAAAAAGCGTCGCTAAAAACTAGAAAACCTTTACCCGCCGTTGTAATAGCGACGGCCAAACCGCCGCAATAGCCCCGTCGGCATATCCTTATAGTGACGTTTTCCTCAAACGCTGGTATAGTTATTTTTATTGCGACGGCCGATGTAGTGACAGCTATAAATGTCACTATATCTTAAATTTACTCATTACTTGCTAACTTTATAGTGACATGTCGACCGCTACTATATCCTTCACTTTTGTGACATTTTCTGAACCGCTGCTATATTTTGACTCTATTCCATCAGTTTTACACCGTCGCTATAACCATAAAATTCTTTTTGAATTTTATTTGCAGTGGCGGGTATTAACCGCGGTTATATGCTATGTTTACAAATCAATTACCAATAATATACAGATTGAAATTTTCAATGATTTGCTAACCATTAATGGTTGTCTCTCACTTATCCCTGCTCACATTATATATCTATAAAAACACTATTTTATTCTAATGGCTCAATACTCAATAATTGTAAAAGGTAAAAGAATCTGCATTTTTATAATCCCAAAATTTCCAAAACACCTTAATTAAAAGGTTCATTACATAAGCCTGTAATACAAAAAAGATCCAATAATTCTAACAAACTAATAGCCCACACCATAATGTAAAAGGTATATATAAACTTGTCACAGGACAATAGTACTCAAAAGTATTACTCATGACGCCATTTTATAAAGACCTCCATAAAAAATGTTCAAATCGAGAAATGACGTCCATTGATTGATGCTTTCATATTGTCTTATTTCCTGCAATAAAAATGATTGAATGAGTATAAGTATCATTTTCCATTTCAAAATCTATAAAGAAAATGTAGACTACAAATAATTCTCGACAAGTCTTATCTTTTTGGTAAGTATATGGTTTACATATCGAAAAATATCACCATACTCAAGTTGAAGATCATATTTACATATTAAGATAGATCAGCCATTAAGAGAGAAAATAGCAGCAAATGAAGAGAAAAAATATAGTAATGCAGAACACTACAAGGTCTTTTAAGTTTGGATGTTGCTTT